CGACCTCGGCAATTTGAACAACTACACGACCCATGGCGGGCACGCGTGATTTGAGCCAGGGCCATCGGACATCACTTGTGGCATCCGGTGGTTAAGTATATAACCCAGACACTCCATGTATGCCATATATGCCGATCAGTTGGAGTGGTTTGAGGGGTCAATGTAGGCATATATGGCATACATGGAGTGTCTGGGTATACAACAGTCTATACATGTCAGGCCTTAGATGGGCCATGCGCTTTAGCGGCCACCAGCTCGATGTGAAAGGATGAGATAGGTATTGCCGGTATTGCCTCAAACATCAGATTTGCAGCTTTGTCATGCTTTGTCATAGTGACTCACCTAGGTGTTTCGCATTGGCACAGGCATCCAAAACACTTAAGATGGATGACAATCCAATGACCGGTCACCTTGTTTCGCTGATGTTCTTCATAGATTGACATAAGTCCTCCCGGACAAATCATCCACAAGAGTCCTCGAGAAGCTCGCTCGCACAAAAATCGGCAGTCACCTGAGGATGGTCTATCCCAACCGCATGTTGGGACAACAGCTCTTAGATGCGGGCATCGTGCAGTTCGCGCCCGGCAGTCAGCTGGACATCCAGAAGTCCATGGGTTCCTTGGAACACTCCATGGACCGGACACCATCCGGTCGCGTTCGGTCGGTGGTGGGCGGTGGTCGCGAGGCGGACCCGTAAGCGGAAGCGGGTGCCTATAGGTGGCGAGGTCGTGAGGTTTCGGCTTTCGTGAAGCTTTGCACTAGCTACGCGTCCTTAGACCCTAGTATAGTCCTACTGTTTGGGCACAAGACGACTGGAAGACGACTGAAGAAAGAAAGGCACAAGTCACAAGACGACGACTTCCTTCATAGCCGGGCTGGACGTGGGGCGGCGCGGTCTCCGGGGAGAAATCCCCATGAGCTGAATCCATTTGGACAGTCGATCTGCATGGAATGACTTCACGCACATTTGAGGCTTCAAGAATGGGCAGCTCTACTGCGTGGTTGGGAGCCCCAGATTTCGGTTGAGACCATGTGATGACGTATTTAGTAATAAGTGTGTCACTTAGTCGTTGTGTATGGTTGTCTCAATGGAGATGCCGGACCCCAATGCAATCGGTCAATCGGCGGTGCCTTGCTCATAGCATTGTACAAGCATTCTTGTTGAAGGGGGGGCACAGCTCTTGAACCAGCTCTTGAATCAATCGCTGCAGGCCTACAATCCCGCTGGAGAGATTCCCATCATAGTGTGATCAGGCCTCAAGTACACCTAAAACCACCAGGAAGACAACGGGTTTGACATGCTCAACATCTACTAGGGCCGGCGTTATAATTAAAGACCTACCTGCAAGGGACCTAGGGTGTGTCCCATCACCAGCAACAGATGGTAAAACAGAATAGTACGGATGTAGCACTTTTTTTGGAGAAAAGCCTGGACTATATAATCATATCTAACAACCATTGGTGCCACCGGGCCCTTAGAATGTCATATACCCCAACTGGACCTACACCTGGACCTGCACTGCTCCAGTGGCCTTGAAAACCCGAGGCGCCCATTGTCTTCGGCACCTCTACGCCGGTGTCCTACGACTTCTGGGCCGTAGGCCGCGATGGGAATAGATGGGATGAATATGGATGAAGAAAGATGAAGAACGTCCTTGGTGTTCTTTTTTGTGCTTCAGGGGCTTTCTGCACGTGGTTTCTTCATGTAGACTCTTGATGAACAAAGGCCCCCCCCATTTCTTATTCCAGAGTCTACATTACTGTGTTTTGTGGGTGGTGGGGCGAGCGGTGTTTTCGTCATGGGTGGCTGAACATGGAGGCAACGAATTCACCAAGCAACTGCATGGACCCCTCAAGTCAGGAGGCAGTTAGGAGCTGGGAAGGTGCTTTAAACGTTTGACATTAAACGTTTGCTCCAGCTGGATGCGATGTTTTGGCAGGATGCTACTGCAACCAACTAGGATCGATGTCAGTGACCCCACTGAAAGAGAGCCTACAAGCTGTCTACTAAATCATATTATTCCTTCCATTGGCCCGTCTATCAATGTACAGTAAGGTAGCTATGGAGTTGGATAGTGGTAGCGGGTCCACTGCTGCCAGGCACTGATTGCTGTAGTGGCAACAAGGCCGACTTCTCTTGCCGCATCCTGGCTGAAGACTGGACGTGGTGCAGCCAATGCTGACGTGATAGAGGGACAGCATCGTTAAGAAGCATTTTGGTGACCAACCAGCAGATGGATAAGAAGCAATTTTAAGGTGCTTTGATAAGCCATGACTCATGACACAATTTAGTTCCAAAGACTTGAGTCCGTTGACAGATGGCTGTACAGATATGTAGTGAAAGATTGTGATGATTGAAGCCTTAGGACCTAGGGCACTGAACTTGCATACGTTGATGGCGCAGAAAGTGAGGCAATTACAATAACCCCCAGGCCAGTGGTGGGATCAGGCCCGGATTTCATGCGTTTGTTTCCTTGAAAAAGCGGCAGTTCTTCTGAAGTTTGACTGCTCATCTAGCAGGTGTTCGCATGTGAAAACAGTGGTGCCATCACCATTTTCCACTGGTGTGCGGTGCAGGGTTGATGTGTGAATGTGGGATGACGGAAGTTCAGGAAGTTTAGCAACCCAAGGGTCCCAGCTGCCGGCCAGGCTCATGGACAGCGGGGACCGTGCCTACTACAGGCACCGAACTCATGGAGAAGCAAGTCGTTGCACTCCAAGTGCTTCGCGTGTTGGAGTGGAAATCCTCGGGGCGTTGGTGTCACGTCACGCCTGTGAGGCTGGCCGTGCAACAAGCCGAAGCAACCTATAACATCAAGGCGTCCGGTCCGGTCTCAATGTGTGGTAGCCAGTTTGGGACATGCTTGATGTTGCTTGGGGGGAAGTTGACATATGAAGAGTAGTATGAAGAGTAACGTGACAGCGAGGCTATGAGGCTGTTCGAATTGCTGGAGTTGAAAAATCCCAGTGGCGCACGGTTGCCACCCTTTTTTCAGGCCACTCACCCACTCTTCTTCACCTGGGAAGTGGAGCCGTCCAAGAAGGCCCGGCCGTGGTGGGGCCCGCATGGTGGAGGATCAACAGAGAGCCTGGTGAGTGTCACAGCCGGTGGGGATGGGTCAAGATATATGACCAACCAAAGCTGGTCAGAAGGAAGCTAAGGAGCTGGGGGTATCGGTATCGGTACATTCCCCAACTTCGGTGGTTTCAGAGTAGATCGCACAAACCCCAAGATGACTCTTAGATGGGGGTCCATATAAACCACCCAACTTGGGGGCGCAGACGTGCCATCGAACCTCTCAATCCTGTATAAACAAGGGGGCTTAGGAGCGACAAGGAGAGAGATCCTCTAACGCCTTTCGAGCAGCCATCCAAGTCATCGAAGCAGATTGACTCTTTTGGAACGTGGATGAGATTCCAACATATTGGAGCCGCCCAGCTATAGAAGTACCTGAGGGCTGCTAGCTTGCTGCTTCCCAGTTGTTGCCATTGTTTGGGTCGAACAACCTGGGAACCAGGAAGTGCCTGGCTTTTGAGGCAGAATCCGTGAAGATGTATGATATAGTCAGATGGAGACTCCCAAATATTTGATTGCTTGCAGACTTCCACAAAAAAATGTCCCATGCATTAACGTATTGGTCGTCACTAAAAGGGGCTATCAGATAGGGTTTCCCTTCCCCAAGCAGGCTCATCGTTCTTCGCTCTGAAAGCGCCAACAAAAATCTGGGCGGCCAGGTTTTGAGCTGGCTGCTTGAGGGACATCAGACCTTTGCGGCATGGATGGTCTCGTATTTGGTCTTCCAGTCACTCGATGCTGATCTAAGATCGGGACTTGGGACGAACGAAGAATACAGGATGTCCTTCAACGGATGTCAACGGCAAACATGAGCGCATTGATGCCAGTTGATCAAACAAAGGGCAACCTTCCAATTGGGATGCGAACAAGAACCCTTCCACCCAATTCGAGTGATCTCCCGCCTCATTTCTCGGCTGAGAAAGCATTTTGCGCTCGGTCCGCTAACCGTCGGACATGGGGTTGATTCCCCTGACGGACATGGTGCAAACCCCCACGTGACCCCATGTCAGGGAAACCGTATTTTGAGGGTGTACTTGATTTTCCCAGGGTCCCTGCCGACTAGTTGCCAGGATCATTTATGGCTATTTCTAGGTGTTTGGGGGCTTGAACTTAACCTCGAGACTTGCCGAGTTGCGGAATTCCTTGGAGACACTCAGCGCTCCATCAAAACTCTCCGCCTGAGGCTGTTCCTGGTGGCCGTGGCGGCCGTGGTCTTCTCCAAGATCGGGCACTGATCTGACCAGGAGGGATCCGATCGGAGAGAAACACCGGCACATGGGCGAGGCGAAGAGTGAAAAAGAAGCCCACCGACCAACGGCTGCGTGTGATGGCGCGAGGCCACTTGTGAGGGCTCGCTGCGGACGGCCTGATGGGATTTCATGGGCCGCTACCGGCCGGAATGGATTCCCAATCAGTACACTTCATTAGGGATTTCATGGGATTTCAATGGATTTCCAAGGAACGGATTCCCAATCAGTACGCTTCATGGTTACTTCGGGAGTTGTTGTTGGGTGTTCCAGGCAGGGTAAATTTGGCTGCGTGAGCTGCAGAAAAGCAAAGCAAAGCTTTGGAAGAGCAAAGACAGACTGCCCGCAGTACGGTTCCAGGGTTCCAACTCCAATCAAGGTGCAGATTTTCATGATGTCTTTGTGGGAGACCGAAAGAGAAGCGGCCCCGAGTAGATAGAATATTAGAACCTTGAAGAGAAGACACTGGCTAGGAAGCTGCCTTGAAGCCATTTAAGTCCTAGCACGGTACTTGGTCGGTTTGTCCCCCTTTTTTCCGGACCTGCCCAGCAACCGTTGGTGAGGAACATGTGGGGCCTGCGCACCTGTGAACCTGCCCGGGGTCGATCCGATTCCGCGCGCACGGTCAGTGACCCCACGGGACCCGTCGCGACGGCGAAGCACCCGGCCCGGCCCAGGTGCCGTCATGGCCTACTTGAATGGAGGAGATCAGGACGGTGCACGGGAGATGCTCCGGCAAATGGTGCCTGGGTAGTTGCCTGGGTTTATCTGGGACCAACTTCAGGTGGGGCCCGGTAGGGCAGGTGATGATGACGGTAGGTGATGTTCCTCCATATGTGATGTGATGGTGCTTTGGAGAAACAGCCATGTTGACGACATGTGTATAACTAGTTGGTGATTAGCACCGCTCCACCTCCAACTTTTTAGATCGGGGAGTGCATGCCTCATGGGGAGTGCCGCACCCATCTGCGACTCATCGGGGTTGAACGCATCGCGTGTGGAACCCATGAGAGAGAGAGAGAGAGTTCCGCAGCTGCGTGGCTCAGATCTCATGATGGGACCTCATGGGATCTCATGGGTTCTGGAAACTTCCCTATTGAATCACTCCCCTATATAAAGACATGGTGGGTGCCTTGAGGCAAACCTGTGGGGCAATTGTTGGTGCAACTGTGAGCGGCAATGGTTCTGGGCCCACCTTACCATGCGCCCGAAACGAGATCGATCGTCGCGACATTGAAGCCGCTCAGGTGCGTACGAAGCTCTTCAACCAGGTGACGGAAGCTCGGCAGATCTGGGGGTGACCGCCGAGCAGCGACCGAACAGCAACCGTCCTTCTCGGGTGACCTAGGTGAGAAATCCTCGGAAGATGGTTAGACACCCCAAACCCACCCCAACCATTTTCTCAGGAGGTAGTTGGAGCCCTAGGGATAGATGACTTCAAAGAAGGAGCTCTTCTTAGTAATTAGTACGTCCTGGACGTGCGCAGGCTTCATGCGGCAGGTGATATTTTATTGATCCGACTGCATATTGACCGTCAGGGGATGTTTGGAGAGTTGTTGACTTCAATTTATTTCTATATACATTCTATTTCGCGATGTTCTAAAAGATGAAGCAAATCAAAATCAAATCAAATCCAAGAATTGGATTGCTGACAGGTTGCTTCTAAGCCTAAGCGTTGTTTGTAGCGCTCCCTCCTGTGTTCAAACCCAAATGCCTACTTGGGATCATTGTATAAGCTTGTCCCCGGCCACCTGTGACAAGGTGCAACTACATGCCAACGCCAAGGTGTAGCGGCCATGTTCCAGTGTGCCATGTGATGCAACATGTGTAACATGCTTTAAGCAGATGCAGCTACATGTGTTCTGACGTGCCACAGGCTTCTTTTGGGGTCTTCCCACATGGAAGGAGCACACGGACAATCATGGACACGATGTTTTTCCTTAGACTGATGCGCTCCGAAGACAAAAGCCTGAAAAGGATGTTGGCGTGGGTGGTAGAAACGCCAACGCACATATTCTGAGGGCTCCTTGGCAGCTCGCATGGGCATTCGCAATCTCGAGGCGGTGCTCGTGCGGGGTGGGTTGCAGGAGCTCAAGAAATGTTGGAAGACTTTTGCTCCCATTTTGTGAGATACGCAAAGATTTATGGTTTCTACTATGACTATGATCTACTCTGTGTCGTGTGTGTTTGCAGTTGGGCCCTTTGAACGCAACGGAATGACAGATAGTGAGCCTGCAGTCTAGTGCAACCGCAAGGTTGGTTAGGTGTGGCATAGTCACGTCACCGTCAGAAATGCCTTCCCATCTTGCTGACGAAGAGGGAGAGGGGCTTCCAACCCAGTGGTTTTGGTGGAGGGTGGTCATGTTCCAAACCCTGGGGCTTGGTTTGGCTTGACTCCCTACAGTTAAAACCAGTGATCACATTGCACTGTCAAGAACCAGCATGAGGGGAACTCCTCCAAGAAAGACTTAATCCATTGCATCATGGCTGAGCAAGATGCCGTCGGCAACCTGCACTTGCTGATTTCCCCTAGCAAAAGGCCTTCATCATGATGTTCATCCACTGCAACCTACTTTCTCGATTTTCACTGGGCGGCTGGGGCGCCTGCTAACCTTGTGTGAGATGCTTCAAGAACACCCTGTGTATTGTTTAAGGCCGCACACACCTAGCCTGTGAATGTTTCGCATCCACTTCGGCTCAAGCTTTGTGCGCTGAAGACTACAAGATGAAGGAGCTAGCTGCAATACCACTGCAACCAGCCTCTCAAGACTTGTACATCCAGGATGGGTTGTTTTCCTTGGCCAAAGGAGACACCCGGGGAGTTCAAAACAGCCCGGACTACTAGTAGCTGAGTGGGCCCTAGATGCCTCAGCTATATAAGTGAACATCTTGGGTTGGGATCCACAAGGGTTGCTTCACAAGCAACACGCAAGTGGCTTGGTCTCAAAGAAAGGGAGCCCCCAAAAGCATGCAGAACGGTCCCTCGGCTTAGACTGCGGACACCCCAGGGCCATGGAGAGCACCCCAATTGAAGGCTTCAACGTCCTTCTTCCGCGAAGCTAGCGAAGCCAATGGAAGAAGAACCGCTAGCGAAGCTCGTCTCCTGCGAAGCCTTGGCAGCCTCAGAGTTCGTGTGCCGCTGTCATCGTGAAGATGCCCTGCGCTGGTCTTTGCCCCTTGCCTTTGCTACGGAGTATACCTAAGGGGCTATGGAGATGGGCCCCCCCACAAGAAAAGCAAACTGAGGAGACTGAAGGAGTCAAAAGATGATGTTCACAATCTAGAAGACACTAGAAGATTTGATAGATATTTGATTAGCATGTCCAACATGACAGAACTGGCTTTGGTTAGGTTGGGTGCCCCTGCCACAAGCTTGAGGTATTCAGGAGACTATGTGCTTCTGAGATGCCGGGCTCTCAGCTTGGCCTAGGCAGCACCTGGTTGTGAGTGGTGCTTAGCATGTACACAGCTTTGGGCCAACCATGTCGTCAAATTCTAGTTCGAGTCAGCGGAGTGGATTGAGCCCGAAAGGCTAGTCACTAGTGGGGCTCCCAGGCCTTGAGAGCTCCTCCTCTTGCTATGCAGTCGTGAACCCGCCGGACGACGCGGAGCAGTTCAGCCACCCGGACTCAGCAGGACCCAGCAGGTACCTGGTAGCCCTCTATGAGTTGAAGTTAGTATCCGCTCCATGTGCCTCCGCTTGTAAAGAGCTGTTGGATGCGCCCTGGGTCGAAGCGCCTTTTGGAGGCACTTGGAGCTCCAAAAAGGGGGGGGAGGAGTGTCAGTGAGCCAGTGAGGATAGTGAGGCTCTGAGTGAGGCTCTGTGGGTCCAGATACAAATCCACTTGGACTTGGTGAACAAATTGGTCTGAAGTTTTGACTGATCAAAGCCCAGGGGCCCAGATGTTCGGCTGGGATTCTGTGATGCAACAGGCACCTGAAAAATATCCAACGCGACATCAACACTCCGACGAGCACATGGAAGTGAAAGTGGAAAACCACCTGCTTGTAGAGGAAAGCTCTACGGGCATCATCCTGCAGGGTGCAAAAAACACTGGATGTTCTCGGCGTAGTCTCTCTATGTTCACACTGCATCGTTTTACAGCACAAAGGCTCAGCCTACTGCAGTCAGTGGGTAGCCTTTGACCATTCTGGAAATGGGCTTCCCCACTAAACAGCAGGTGGAAAGAGGTTCACCGGTTCAAACGCTCGGCTCTCCGATCCACGGTGAACTCGTCCAGTCCACAAGACACCTGGGGTGGTTGGTGGGTGGGGGCAGTGGTGCACGTGGCGGGCCGTCCTGCGCAGTTGCCATGCAGGGACGATTCTTTTATATAGTGGTTGAGAAGGCGATATACTCCCCACCCCTTCTTAAAACCCTGTGCGCATCCAAAGGCATCCCCAAAAAACACAATTATAAGATCATTTCAAGACCATCCAACAAAAACCTGCATCGGAACAAGACCTGGCATTGGAACATGTCCATTCTTAGAACGCCGTTCAAGCGGAGTCATCACCGGTTGTCTCAACCGCCCCGAACTCCTAGGCGTCCAGGAGGGCACCCTGCTGGTGCCCCTGGAAGTCTACGAGCTCCTGGGAGGTTGGATGAAGAGACGGTTTTGGAACAAGTTCACTTGTTTGTTTGCTTTGGTTGCTTTGGTTTGGTTGTTTTGTTTGGTTGCTTTGGTTTGTTTGCTTTGGTTGCTTTGGTTTGCTTGTTTTGTTTGGTTGCTTTGGTTTGTTTGCTTTGGTTGCTTTGGTTTGGTTGTTTTGTTTGGTTGCTTTGGTTTGTTTGCTTTGGTTGCTTTGGTTTGGTTGTTTTGTTT